GGGGGGGGGGGGGGGGGGGGCCTTCGCAACTTCTTAATCCGGCCCTGGGTGAACTACAAAATAATGCCAGCATTAGCCTAAAGCTGTATTAACTAATGGAGGTTTAAAGTAAGACATTGCATAAAAGAATTAAAAAGTTACATTAGTTAACTAACATTAGAGCTGTGCAATGTGCATTAGAGACTCCGATAATATACGGCAGGGATCCGCGAAAATGTCGTTCGCTTCGGGAACGTTAGAAAATTGAATTTTTTTTCTATTCAATGCCCACAAAAGTACGAGGGTGAGTCAAAAAGTAACAGGACATATGCTATTGTAACGTAAGAAGTATAACTAGCAACGTAATTCGCACATTTACAGCTGGAGTCCAGCTGGAAATTATAGCTGTTTCCAGCCTGGATTTTAAACTGGGCCGTAGCAGGCCGACCGGTAAGCCTGGATGCACCAGAAACATATGATTGCCCGTTGGTAACGAACTGTTGATAAGTAGCCAACTTATCAACAGTCATTTCGGAAGCATAATGACTCTTGGGATCCTGATTATCTTGGGTGACGACCGATAGTACTGCTTGTTAGAATATCAGTGCCGTAAAAACGGTGATCTTAGGCTTTGCTGCTGTCACGTGTGACTCCTACTGTTACGAAAAATGGCGACTATGGGTCTTGATCGCACCAAGGAGGAGTTACGTTTTGTGATCCGTTTTTTGGTCGAAGATGGCGTGAATGGCAACGAAATTTATCGCAGACTCAGGTCAGTTCGACGAAAGTGGAACGACGAGTATTGCTGACACAGCCGGACCGGCAAAACTCGTCAAATGATGCGACACACAGTGGAGATGTCGTTATTGAGTGTATCGGCGACCACGACTTGAAAGAAACCACGCGTCCATATAACCAAAGTGCGCAGCAGACCTGCAGCTGTGGCGGTATCGCGCTAGTTCCTCTTCGTTCTGTGCTCTACAGGGTGTTTAGAAAGTCACTCCCTATTTTAAAATTGTGATAACATTTGTCATTTTTGGGCTAGAACAATGGTTTTGTGTGGAAAGAAAGAGAATTCGATAGGATTTAATGCTTCTATTGAATTTTTTTGTTTGCAGTTACCCTCCATGGTGCCAACATTGAATCTTCGACACCGTGCGCTAGTAGCTGCGCAGTAGGTGGAGGTGGAGAAAATGGGAAGTGGCATCCAAGGCATTCTTACACAGGCACGAGGTCAACACATGTACTGTCCTGTCTCCTGTATAGTCATGGGACAAACGTGTGCAAGGAATTATACTAGTACAAGCAGCACAAGTACTGCAGATAGAAAACCTCCACTGGGTAATGCCTTAAGGCATGTAGCAGCGACAATATGGTGCCCGGTAGTAATCCCAATAATTGGCCAATATGTATATTCCTTGGCAGTCAATGTTGGGGTGTGACTGGGGTTATCTGGGTTCTCTTCCACCACCACCTCTGGACCTCCACGCCTCATACCGTAGCCCATCGTCATGATCCAAAGCAGGTGCTTCTTGTAAGGGGTTCTCATACAATATGAGCTTGTTTATGACCTGGGCTCCATGATTCTGTCTCAAATATGGTGATAAGGAATAACGAAGTGTCCAAGTTTATTGATTACTATAATG